TTAGTGATTCCAATCCAATGACCTTTTGATGCACGATGAAGAATACTCGGCATAATTAATTCCTTTGCACGAAAATCTAAAGATCCCTCTACCATTTCTTTTGCCATGGTTTCAGAAACAAAGGTTATTATTTGGGCTCTATCAATTGCAAGAGCTGATGGATAAAATCGACGACCATGAATATAGTTTAAATATTCATCAATACTATTAATATCGTTACTTGAATTCCTGAACATTTTAAAGTTGGCAAGTAGAGTTGAATATAATTGCTCTTCTAAATAATCATGCATAGTATAAACGATTGGAGGTGATGGTTTGCTATACTGGTCTTCATCATATAATTCTCTGAGAAAATCTATCACCAATGCATTCGTTGCTCCATGAAGATGCACAACGTCTACTCCTCTATTATCAAGTCGAGCAAAAAGTGGTGTTTCCGCATGCTTATCCAAGTATGTTATAAGTTCGGCAACTGCTTTACAAAAATATAAATTCATCCATTCCTGAGGTAATCCTTGTGGCGCTGAATATATTTCAAGAGCACTGGATGCTCGAAAAGCCAAATCAAAAGGTGGATAATTTGTGGAGGGTTCAATTATGTAAACCCAAATTCTTCGTAATTGTGGTGGGTTATCGCTGAGGATATCAGGATTTTCGTTAACATTCCATAAAAACCTTAGAACTCCGAAGTTGACAGGTTTCCATTCACCATAACTATTTTGAATTTTAATTGATAAATGAGCGTAAAATTCACACTTGTACAGTGTTTGTAAAAAACTATAAGATGGTATTATAACATTGATATTCAACCGGCTGTTCATAGATTGTCCCTCCGCCAAAGCTGTAACAACATGTCCTAATCCACCCATCGTAGCCGTTCCAAATTCTTTACTAACATGGTAAATTGATGAACCTTTTGGAAGAATTGGTTTTACATTTGGATGTAAACCTATATAAGGTTGTGGTTCAAAAGTTCTACTTTCTTATTTAAAGAAAGATAATGGATAAAAAATACATAAGTGTTCAATAGACAAAATAAAAAAAAGAAACCGATTTCAAATAACCAACCAATAATTAATTCATCGCTCATAAATATGTTTACAATAGTTACTGATGTAATTATGAACATAATTCCGAATAAAGTAAAGAATGGCAGATATCTTCGTCCACTTCTCAAAAAAAATGGAATTGTATACAAATTTCTTAACTTGCCATCATTTCGACGCATTTGATCAGTTGGAAGACTATTTGTTGCGTGCATACTTTTGTCTAATGAAGCATTGTCAGAAAGTTGATTTGTCGAATCGAAAAGATTTGGTGCAACTGTCTTCAAAGGTTACACTCTGAAGACTCAGCTACCGATGGAGATGGTTACTCTGGCCTTTTTTTTTTTTTGGATCAGTCCTTAATTTAACTGGGTACTGTGTAAAAGTTAGGAAGTCTAAAATAATCTACTCACGTTCTTTTAAGATATCCTTTGCTATTTTGTATTTGTAGGAGGGTTAAAGTAAGTGCAACCAATGAAGAACATTGGAAATATAATTTTATGTAGTGCAGCACACGTGCTATTATTAAACACAATAATTGATACAAAACTCTTATTTTACAACTTTCATTAATTCAACATTTTAAAGTATTTTGAATAAAAAAACTTTCATTCTATATGAATATTTAAGATCGAATTGACAATTTAATTTCTTTTTTTTTCTAAGCGCTTGTACGTCAAATATAATTTGACATTGTATTGCTTTCGGAATTATAAAAAAAAAAAAAAAGCAATGAAGGAACCGATGTAAGATGTTGTGTTTACCACAACATATCAACGGATCCTTGAAAGAATCTATGTACACGAATAAAGAAAAGGCATATTCAAGAAAAAAAAAATTCAAAATGAAATCCGCAAATAAAGACAAAATTTTTTGAAATAAAATATCACACATCCAATTAAATTAATCATTAAATTAACCGTCATTGCCTTCTTCTTGCCAAGGGTCGTGATCAGCGTTTTCTTGCTCGTATTCAGCTCCTTCATCGTCAATATTTTCACTGCCCAACATTTGTGAATTATGATACTCAATGATCGTATTCGATTTTGTCAGGTCAATCAATTTTCCAGATTCAACAGCTCGAAGCCCCATTTGGCGTGCCTTTTGGAAAATTTGGATTCTAAATTGTTGTTTTATTATAAAATGTTAATTTGTTCAAATAGAAATGCTAGTTAGTCGAATGGTTTCAATCATCAATAACGCTTTCATCAATAATGCCTTTCTTGTATTGTTTAGTGAACCAAGTAGGACAGTTTGAACTGATTATCACCTCTTTTTAAAATGACATATTATTTCGAACAAAAATCATAATAGAAATAATAATAACGTATACCTAGTTCTTTCAGGTTCGAATTCTTTGATAATTAATTCCCAGTCGCCGTTATGTTTATCGTAAGCAGCTTTTAATCGTTCTACTTCATCATCAGTCCAAAGTTGTCTTGGCGCTCGCCTATGTTTATGTCTTTGATTTTCGGAATTATAAGCCTCCTCACCGCTTATTTCAACATCATCCCCAATATGTCTTTTTAATCTTTTATTGCTATAATTTTGGTTGCCAACCGAATATCCACTCATGCCAGGAGCAAGCATACCACTAATTACCATTCCTGTCTCGTTGATTATTTGAAGAGGATCGATTCCCGGGGATGGTGCAGCCAAGAATAATGAGACATCAGTATCTTTTAAGAGATTTGAAATTCCTTGATAATATTCGGCATGTATTTCAAGACATTTTTTTTGCTAAGACGTAAAGTATGATCGGAAATCAAATGTTTGATAAAATAAATTCCAGAACAGCAAATAAATAAATAAATAAATAAATAAAACAAAGTCAAACTTTACAATTTTATAAAAAAGGTGCATTCATTTTCTTCATTTAGAAAGAAAACAAAAACATACAAACTCAAAAAAGTTTTGAATGGTTTTTCTCCGAGGAATATGCATTCTATTATGATAAGTCTTATTAACTTTGAATTTGTAGGTTGTTGTAGGCGGTGATGCAGGTACGTTTTTGATGTCTTCAGTTGAGCTCATTTTTTTTTTTTTTTTTATCTTTAGCAAGGTAATGCAGTAATGAAATTATAAAAAAATTACAACTGGACAACGATAGGAAATTAATGTTAGGGTTTAGTGTCTTCCAGGTAACTACGAATTTTTATATGTATTTACCGTATGTACGATTAGCGTTAGGCTGTCCTACATGGTTACAAATGGTATTACAGAAAAACAATAAATCTGATTGGATAATCAATAAATGTTACGAAAGATACCCCATGTGATATTTAATGATTGATTGATTATATTATTTCTGCATTTAGTCTAATTAACGTTAAATAATGCAATAATACTGGCCAAATTTTTATAATGCCAGTATTTTACATTAATGTGATACTGGACTTGCGCAAATGTAATTTTCGTAACACCCAGGTACTATATTTGCTAAACCACTTCCCCTATCGGATCGTGTGGATATTTCCATGGTGCAGAGCAGATAAGTAATACACTATACGTATACCCTTGAATATCGTTATAGGAACAATTAATACGCTAACGAATAATAGGTGAGATAAATATATAATATGCATTACTACTGTCCCATATATAAACCGATAAATATTTTGCAGGGGGGGCGGGTTAGACAAGACCAATTTGATTTTCTGTTTAACATAACCCCCCTCAATTTTTTAAAATCGTTTATAAGAAAAAAAAAACATTAACCAATCAAATTGCAGTATTAGTTTTTTTATATTTTACAGCCAATAAAATTAGGGATCTTCGTGTTTATATAGCTGAAGTGAAAAACAGTAAATTTTCATGGTGGGAATACGTAGGCGTTCCCCAGAATTATTGTTTTTTTTTCAATATCCTCTTATTAGGGTAAGTGGCACTGAAGTCATAGGCATGCCACCATGGCATGCTTGTAGTGGCATGCCATTGGCATGCCCAAAACTTAAATGGTCAATAGGCCATTTATTATAGTTCCGAAATATTCCGAGTAGAAAATCAAAGTTCGAAAGAAAAATTGAAGCAAAATTCCGAAATATTCCGAAATGTACAAAAACCGCACGGATCACGTGGTTTAATGGCATGCCACCCTGGCATGCCTGACGGCATATCTCTTATCGTTACAGAAAATCAATTTGGACCGAAAAATACGGTATGACTACTGATTTGCTAATTATCCTGATCAAATTTAGTTCTTTATAAAGTACAGTGAGTTACGAAATCACGTGTGCACGATTTTGGCGAACAACATCTGTCTGGTGGAGAATTGGTCGTGTCAGTGTGTAGGAGTATATAACAGCTATTTATGTAACATTAAATAAGTTGTTTGCATATAGTATGAAATATATGTAGCAAAATGGGACTTGTCTTCTCGATGGACAAACACAAATTTTATTTATAATAAAAATTCCTTTCAATATAATAAGAGAATTATCTATGTCTAAACCCTCATAATAAACCGAAACGGGCATTTCTTTCTAAGGACCATCTGTCCTGTCCTGTTCGGACAGA